GTTACAGTGTTTTCTAGGCTTGAGAACTGAGATGATTTGACCTTGTATGAGTAATTGGACGTCTGGCACAATGATTGTCATTCTCAGTGTTGGTAATATATGGCTCTGTTGATCACTCAACATTGGAGCAATAATTAAACACAATAACCAGAGACCAGAAGATGTATGTAGGATAATAGGCACCTATCTAGGATTCCCCTTATAGGAATACCTTCCAAAAAGCTCAAATGGTGAGAGGAAGGGCACTCTTTTAACCATCTTTGTCAAAGTGCTTCAGTGAAATACAACTTTACTTTTGGGGTCAGATTAGAAGAATTTCATGCGATGTAGGTATATGTGACCCTTCATGAAAGACATTGTCCTGCATATTCCTGAGTGAGCACTACAAACAGTAGTAATACTTTAGGACAAACAAATGCGGTACTTGAGTGTATTCAGTCAACTGAGCTGCATACTGGGTATTTTATAGCACAGTCAAGATGCAGTAAAATAGTGTAAATATAAGTGCAAAACACAAATGAGTTTGACATTGTTTGTGGTATTACCATTAGTAGAATCATTGTTTTAGTTAAACTTCCTCAGGGGAGAAGGGAGTGGAGGAGTTTTAAAAAAAAAAAGGTTTAATATTGGCACTTTCCCATTTTTTCAAGATAAAACAAATCGAGTACCCCGAAGACAGTACCTCTTTCTCACTGGAGGAAGTGGGATGTGCAGAGCTTTTAAAAAATAGCCTTAATACTTGGCAAAAAAAGTCTTGGTAGTTTGAATTAGTCCTTTAGGAAACTGATAAGAATTCTAATAGATTGATTCTTATAGTGTTATCACATCATTTTATTGCTTTATTAAGCAGTACTTAAATATTTTGTCCAGAATAAACACCTGAACTAAAATAAAACTTAGACATCTGGTTTATCAACTTGCTAGCTATTCTGACAGTACCTTTGGTCTAAATCTTAAGCCTTAGTCCAGCCTGGCCTTTTTTAAGGCTATTTTTCCTTATGTTGTGTCTGGATTTCTATTAAGTCAGAAGGAATTTCTCCTTAGTCCTCTGACTTTTAAATCTAGGGTCAAGCAGAATCAGTTCCAGAAGTTATGCAGTTTCTTCAAAAAATTTGAAATAGGTCCATGAACAAATCAAGATAACTTGTTTTCTGATTGAAATTTAAAAACTTACAGTTTTGTTTCTGTAGTGGTGAAGTAAGGGAGAAGGTTGCAAGATTTATTTGTGCCTGTTCCAAAAAGGATTTCAAGCAGGATAAGTAGGATTCTTTGGCCACTTATTAAAGTGTTTATATATAATGTGGGAGTGTATGTTCTTGATAAACATTTAATAGAATAGATTCATGTTACTAAAAAAAATTTTGGCAAAGGAACTGCTATAGAAAACAAATTAATGGTGAAATGTTATTCTTCGAGAATGTTTTCCTGACACTGTAATTGCTTTTTTTAAAAAAGTTGGCTGAAGTAGTTTCCTAATAATGCCTTGTTATTATGTTTTATTTCAACTCCATCACCTCTTTAGACTTAGCGTGTTGGTATTCATGTGCCAGGTGTTAAGTGCCAAGGGATTTTCATAGAATGCCTTTTTTGTTAAGTTACCATTTTCTAAGGTATGTTGTCCAAACCAAGTTTCTTTTTTAGCAGGGATGGTCATCACTTTTATTGGTTCTTTTAATTGGAGGATGGTGTAAAGGTGGGAAATTATAGAAAGACCAAATGGAATCACAGTGAGTTGAGAGTGGGAAAATGTTATTTGTGGAACTTTTTGTGTTTTTAAATGATTATCTTGATGGATAGGGGGAAGTCATAATAGAAATGTCAAAAATTGTTAGTGTATTTGACAATGTATGGTTACCAAAATGATCTTTTTGTTATATTTTGACATGAACAATTGTCCTTTTATTGGGGCTGTTAATGCTATTTTGGAATATCATTGGCATCAAAAGCTAATAGTTTAGCCGTGTCCATAAAGCACCGAATACCATTATAACATCCAGTAACCCTAACAGCAGTATTTCAGAATCTGCCTGTTTAAATGGGCTATCTGTGAATGTACTTGCTCAGGGATGCATGACCCACATCACCTATAAATTTGATTGGAAGCTGCAGTGCTGGCATAGGCTGATGGATAGCAGATTAGAGCCCTGATTAACCATGTGATTCGAAGACTGGGAATATATTGTCTAAGCAAGATTCATCAGATGCAATCAGAATTTCAAGTGGTCAAATGAAATTCAAATGTGTATTGTGGCTTTTCCTTTCTTACTGCGTTTCCTCCTAGGTTGCCTTTTTTTTTTTCCTTCTCTTTCCCTAAAGCTGAAAAATACTTCTTTGATGAATCTGCTCCTTACCCTAAAGCTGTCTGTCTGTTATTCATCAGAAAGCAGGTCGCAGTTCAGTGAGCAGAAGAAAAGATTTTAATAGAAGCTGTGCCAAGGGCTGTAATGCATCATTTTAGGGCCCTAATTACATTACAATGACAAATATCAATGGTGACAACAGCAATAACCTACATCCTTTAATGGCAGTGCTGGAAAAGGAGTTTGGGCCCCACGCCATTAGATTAGACTCAGTTTCAAAACATAGGCCATTAGAAGTGTGTGTCCACAGTATTATTGGCTGATCGCTGAAGCCCAGTGGAAAGGCCTGTAAATAAATGATGTCTCCCTAAAGCTGGGTCCTATGGGACAAAAGAGGCAAAATTAGATGACCATGGAAGCAGGAGTGTTTCCAAGGCAACTTTAGTTTTCAAAGTGAGGAATGACCTATTTAATTTTATGAAATCACACACACATCCCACCCCCATCCCCCTTCCCCCATGCTGCCAATTAGCCTGACCATGAAAATTCATTGGCATGACAACTTAAAGAAATTAAGAAGTCTTCTAAACAAAAGGAGACTTCTAAAGAAAAAGTTTGGAAGGTTTCTCCCCTCCTTTTTCTCTTATGTAAGTGGGTCAACATACATGATTCAGTAAAAAGGGTTTTTCCTTTTTACATTTATTTTTAAGAAACTGTAAATTTTTTTTTTTTTTTTTTAAATAATTGCTCAGACTTAACATAGCCTAGGTCCATAATTAAGGAGCCAAATACCTTTTGGTCTTTATTTTGCCAGATGAGATTTCTGTATAGTAGTTTTTATTGCCTAGATTACGTAGGCAAGCTAAAGAACTCAGTTTTCTTATGTGCCCACACATTTTTCAACCCTCCTAGCAAGGGACTATTTTATTTATGTAAACAACATAATGAGGAAAATATGCTTGGCAGATGGTTCTAAGCATTAGAATCATCAGTTTGGTCTGCCCCAAAGTGTCTCATTATCTTTTATTCTCTCCCCCTCCACCTCTTCCTACAAAAAGCTTAACAACCAAATGCCTGTGAGACTCAGTGCTTTCAGCATGGTGAATGCTCCTCTATTTTCTTAGTTCACCCTGGAATTTCACCCCATAACCACTGTGGTATGTTCGTCCAGGTGGAGAGTGGTTTGGTGATTCCCATTGCAGCTTTTCATGGTGGTTTAAGCATTCTTAAAAGATGGCTAAATGCTCCATGGGGCCAGTGCAGTAAATTAAATCAGGTCAGCACAGTTGAGTCCTTATTCATTGCTGCTTACTGGTGCTGGGTTTTTGTCCATCCTGTTAGGAATGCAGGCCGGAATGGAAAGCCTAGGTTTGAAACTTCATGGTGAATTTGTGTTTTCTGTTGGCTGGCAAAGTTTTTAAGGTGCTGACATTTAAAAGATTGCATAGCTTTAAAGTCAGAAGGGTTGCTGATAAAAGAAGGAAGCCTAGATTGCACAAGCAGAGTGTTGCTGTCATTCTGGTAATGACTTAGCAAGAAAAAGAGCATTTTTGTTCTCTCATACAATGAGGAACTGATCCTGGATGGGAATTATTTTAAGAATGTCTCAGGAGTAGTAATTGCTTTATGTTTTCTGCCTTTTAACACTTCTCACCTCTCTTTCCCCCCACTACATCATTTAAAATATAAGCTATATGTACATGTATAAAACTGTTCATATATCATAGAGTATATAAGGCACTATCAGTGAAACTCTGGGTGGCTTTTTAAAGAAAATTCGTAGTCGTGATATTTCTTTTCTTTCTTTCTTCTTTTTTTTTTTTAACTTATCATAGCATCCTATTGCTATAAAATTTCTGTACTTCCAAAAATTATTAGACAATAAACTCTGTTATCTGACGTTGTTGGGACTTTTGCAGATCTATGCTAAAAAGATAGTTCCCAAGGATCTATAGTATATATAGATTGCTTTTCTGCTAAGTATAGTAAGATTTTAGCATGTTCTAAATCTATACACACTAAAAACCCTCGTAGGACACATTTGGAAATTTTTACCTTTGAAGAATACACCCTGTTCCCCAATAATTTATAGCTAAGAATCAACTGATTCTTGAGAATCAACTGATTAACTGAGTTAATCAATTTATTTGAGTTGGGTGCTATTGTTTCATGGGGTTGGAGACTTGAGGGTAAAATTCCAATGCCAGTGTTAAAAACATGGCTCACAAATATTGAAATCTGATAGTTACTAATTGAGAGAGTTGGGATGTATCTTTACTATCTGAAGAATAATAAATAGTAATAAATTATAATATATAATGTTTATATAAAATTAATAATAACAAAGAATGTGTCTTTAGTATCTAAACTCTTATGAAAAATGACATCAGAATGGGAAAGGGTCTTGGTGTAGGCATTTGAAAACTGATTTCCAATCATGAAAATCAAATTCCTTTTTATATGCCCTGGTGCTCGAAGGTTAACTTTTAAAGATGAGTGCTGGTTAATAAATTATGCTATTAATGTGGCGCTGTTGTCACTTCTCCTTTTAATGGGCTTGCTGATGAGATAGTTTTCTTCTTTCTTTGCAAATATGCCAGCCAGAATATAAAGTGTGTTTTAATCTCCTCCTGTTAATATTTCGGGAATCTGTAACCAGCTAACTGTTCTCTTAATTGCATTTCTTTCCTTTTATTGCAGGCAGAGATTGTCAAGAGGCTGAATGCTATCTGTGCACAAGTCATTCCTTTCCTGTCTCAGGAGGTAAGGTAGTTGATTTCAGGTACTGGGCTAGAAGTTGCCATTTTAGTGGTTTTGCTGAAAGGGATTATAGAACTGACTCTCTGACCTTGCCAGTCTCTTGGTGTTTGTATTTCACATTTCTAAGATACAGTGTTCTCATTCCAACTTCTACACCTTATTAATATTCAGTGGAGTATAATTTAAATGTGTTTATGTAATGAAATATTTTCTAATATGCTAAGCAAAATTTAATTGTTAAAATATTTTGTTGTTATTGTACGATGTAGTGTTGCTCATAATGGCATTTAATAGGGTAGATTGAGAAATTTCCAGGAAGACAAATGCTTGCTCTACACTTTCGTCACTGGGCATTAAGAATTGGCAGAGGACATATCAAAGAGAAAACGAATGTAACTTTTGGCTAGCTGCTTTTAAAAAGTTACTTATTACCTGACTAAGTCTTTATATTGTCTGTGCAAGTGGGAAGACTTGCAACATGGACTCAGTGGATTCATTTCTCTGAGTGCCACTTTTCTCAAAACTAGGCTTTGGTGACTGGGGCCTTCACACATGCCGAGGTCTGGCATGCAGCTCGTTGGTCTTCTCTTGCTCACCACCGGGAAGAGAACAGTGAGCAAACACACCCAGGTTGGAATGAGGAAGTGCATTTCTAGTGCCTAGTGGGTTCCTGTGTCTCCCCCTGCCCTTTTTGTTTGTTTACCTGCTTGCTTTTGGTAGTTACAAAGTTTAGGTGAGAGTGCTGGAAAGAGATAGTTTTTGCTTCTGGATAACTGAATCTTTCATTTGCTCAGGTAAGATCAGCTGTAAGAAGGGAGAAGCTAGCTAACGGAATATTACATGTCTTGCAGCCGCAGTGCTTTGGGTTGCTAGCTGAGGAGGCACTGGGCACTTTCCTTCCATCCTTTCTAGTTCTGTAGATGTGTGGCATCACTGCTTTTCAGGAGAGCAGCTCATCCACCTGCCTACCTGCGGGCATGTGCCCATGTTAGCATGTAGCCGGTATTTAAGCATGCCTGTGTATTATAGACATGCGAATTGCTGTACATGACTTCTTATTTGTCTGGGCTGGGCTAGACTTGAGTAACCAATGGGTACCCTCTGTGGGGTATATGTTGGAGAGGGACAGTCAGGCTCACAGACCTTGTTAACATCCTGAATTCACATGTTCTTCTGGATCACAGAAAAACAAAGGATGTTTTGACTTTCTCCCACTTGAGCTGTGACCGCAAAACCACCAACTAACTAGTCGTATCCCCATTTACCTGTTTTTCACTTAGATTTGCTTTGAGACTAGGTTAGAGGGCTTGATGAATATGAGTCAGGGGGCATATTTGCATTTCTTTAGGAAGCTTGGCTGCCCCTTACCTGATCCGGACCAGTGTGTATTTATTACTTTAAGCAGCTCTGCTTTATGGAGATGGAGAATGGGAAGAATGTGTGACCCACAGAGCTATAACCAGGTCGAGATGTCATACCTCAAGGTGGCCAGGGTGCTATTAGACTTTGGGCCTCTGCAAGCATGAAACCTGGTATATAATCATTGGGACGGCTTTGTTCCCGTGGCATTTCTGCAGGATCTGTGGGTTATGTTCAGAAGTGGAAGGGGGTTTTGGTGGTGCTGGTGGAATTGATTTGCCAGTTATCGTTTTCCCACGTCAGTTACGCTGTTTGTGTGAGATACCCAGTAGGAACAGAATGTGTAATGGAAGTGGTGCTGAGCAAGACAGGGTTGGAATTAATTGACTAAGGAAGTTGTGCCCTGTAGAGGAAAGCCATGGGGAGATACTGACAATTCTGCTGCTGCTGCTTTAGGCTGGGAGGATAGGCACCAGACTCTCACCATTTAACTCTGTTTTTCCCTAGTACTTCGACATTTCTTGAAATCCTTGATTTATGTATAATGACCTATCTCATGGTTTTCTAAATCCTAATTCTTTTTTTTTTTTTTTTTTTAAAGATGACCGGTAAGGAGATCTTAACCCTTGACTTGGTGTTGTCAGCACCACGCTCAGCCAGTGAGCGAACCGGCCATCCCTATGTGGGATCCGAACCCGGGGCCTTGGTGTTATCAGCACCGCACTCTCCCGAGTGAGCCACGGGCCAGCCCTCTAAATCCTGATTCTGTGCATGTCTTTTTTTGCTTACTTGGGATTTAATTTTCTCTTCTTTTTCTTGTCTCCTAAAGTATATTTATCTTTTAATGTGTGGGCCACAAACATATTTTTTCCTGTCAAGTCAGGGCCTCTCTGATGTTTTGTGTCTGAACTTCAATTGTCCACCTTATTTCCTCTTCTGGGCATTCTGTGAGCATCAGACTCTCGTTGCTTCTTCTCTGAGGCCAGATGGACTGTAATCTGGAGGGAGGGGAGGAGCAGGTTATTAGAAGAAGATGAATTCTATTTCCTGTCTCTTCAGAGGCATGGAAAATCACTCTTGTGTGGCTGCGAGCGTCACTCTGTGCCAGGACTGAAGTCACTTAATCTGATCTTTTAACACCGGCTCTCTATGTGACAGTCTCACTGCCAAAACGGCAGCTGCGGCATTAGAATTTATTTTAAAATGTTTTTATTTAAAAATTAAATGATCATATTTACAAAGAAGAAAAACATTCCCTGAAGACTAGTGCATAAGCTACAGGACAGTGGTTGGAGGGATTTCGAGTGTATGAAGTCAGGCCTTTTGGAGTTTGACAAGAACAAGAGGTAAATTTACATACATCTAGATGAAGTCTATTTTTAACTTAACACCCATGTACTGATTAATGTACCTGTTTAATATTGCTTATGTCTAGTTTACCACATTTTCTAAACTTAGAAAAAGTTGTATAGTACTGAATGACAACTATTAAATAAATTTAGTTTTAGCTGCAAGATTTTGTTAGAAATGAGTTGTATAATTATATCTGTAAAACACTCGAAATGTGTCAGTGTATAAAAATCACAGAGAAAAGTGTTTTCCTATTAGAGTTCACTAAAACACTTAAATTATAGCCAATACGTAGTTTAATGGATGTGCTCTTGCACTCACAGCTACTTCTAAAGTCCTAGGCCATAGACAAAGATAGAGCTAACTCCTGTCATTAAAAGAGAATAACCATCACTTACAGTTCTTAGAATTTCACAGGATCCCTAATGTCAGAGTTTAGAGAAAACTTGTGAGTCCTCATCTGTATGAAGCTGTTCTTTTCTCCCACTTACTTTTGGTTTTTAGGAATGGGTAAGACTGATCTATGTATGTCTGTCCTCAAATTTGTTCTTCAAAAGGCAAATCTCATGATAATAAGTGGGAAGCTCTTCTCTCCCCCGAGTTAGGTCTTGTTTGCAGGGGAAGAAGTATAAATAATCAACTCTGAGTTGGCAGTTCCACAACCAAGAGATGCCAGAATGATGACAGTCAGAGCTGGGTTGAGTCCTGGGCTCGCTATTTCAAATAGCTTGGCTTACTCTCACCGAGCTAAGCTGGGTGACCTTTAGCAAGTGATTTGCCTCTCTAAGCCTCAGTTTCCTCATCTGTACAATGAAGTTAATAATAGCATGGAACACATCCCATGGCTGTGAGGATTATCTGGGATTAATACCCGGGCAGCTTAGCACATAGTAAGCACCTCCCGCTGTTGACTACTAGTAGTAGTAGTCTACCAGCAGTGGCAGCAGAAACAGAGCTCTCAGTTTCCTTTTGGGGAGGATCAGGAACTAGCCCTCCTTTCACTTTTTAAGCATTGCAGTTTGAAAGAATATGAATTGGTTATCTTTCTCTCTAATGTCCTTTTAGAGGAAGAAAGTGTAAGTTAAAACTGAACCCAGGGCTCTGAACTAGCTAAAAATCTAGGGGTTTTTTGATCAGCAGTTTTAGGTTTAGGATATAGCTTGTAGGTCCTTAGACCTTATGGGTTTTTAGTAAAATCGAAGGATGCCAGTAAATGCGTCTCGCTTCCAGTGTCCCAGTGACAGCTACCCCTCCATTACCCCCCACCCCCAGTTCCAGGAACATACCTTTAAGGAGATTCTAATGTGGATTGAGAACTGCATTTTTGTGACACCCAGGCAGTAACCGCAGCATTTCTGCTAATTTGGAATTAGACCAGCTCTGCCTCTTTACTGGCTTTCTGTTGGGAAAGCTGATCTCTCTAAGCCTTAGTGTTTATATAGAACGGGGGGAATAACCCCATTTTTATAATGTGTATTATATGTATTAAAATGTAAAGTACTTGGCATAGTAAATGCCATTTTCCTCCCTCCTTTCCTATTGTATTTCCAGGGGGATGGTTTCTATTCCAGGTTATTTTAGGTCCCGAGACATTTGGAGGAGGAGGACTTAGTAAAAACTAGGAAGAGTTCAAGGTAGTATTTCAGAATGAGCTGGTTGGCAATCTTCCTGTGAAGTCACCTAAGCCTTGCAGCTCCAGGGGCTGCTTCCAGCAGTGGGCAGCTGGCTCCACACAGATTATCTTTCAGAAGGGAGGGAATATGTATGTATTTCAGTAAGCCAGTATTTGTCTTAACCTATTAGATTGTGTTAAATATCGGACACTTAGTTGAAGACCTGATTTGGAGGACGATTATGTTTTGTGTACTCTTATTTCCCTTGTAAGGGTCATTTTTGAGACAGGCAGGGTATGTTTCATAGTCTTCCTAAGACCTTTGAGAACTTCAAACTTGTAATAGGCCATGGGTCAGTAGATGGAAATTTTATTACATTATAGCTAAAAATCTTTCTGCAGAGTACATTTGTATTTTTCGTTGGAAGAGCAGAGTTACGTGAGAGGCAATGTGACAAGAGCCTAAGGTCATCCAGACCCAGGACCAAATCCTGGCTCAGCCACTTGCCTCCTTTATAGTGTTGAGCAAAATGCTTAGCTTTTCTGGGTTGCAGTTTTCTCATCCGTATAATGGGGTAGCTGCACTGTAAGGTTTTCATACGAGGATTAGTGATAAAATGATAATGTAAGGGACCTAGCTGGATATTTGGCTGCTTTAACAAAGATCAAAGCAACAGTCGTT